ACAGCATCAATCCCCCCGGACGGACCCGTCGCTCCGTGGACAGCCGCTCCCACGGTCTTGCAGACTCACCGTAAAACGCCGGCCGCCGTCTGCACACTCCACTCCAGGCCGACGTCCGCGTCATCACATCCAGGTCAGTAACCCTCGCGGTGCCGCCCTCCAGCGAGTCTGCCGCTCCAGGCAAACGCCTTGTTTGCCTCGCAGCAGATACGCCCCTGGGCTTACCCAGTACCTACAATGGCTGACTCTGCCCGCATCCCTCCGAGCTGCTGGAGGAGAAGATAATCCGGCGGCCACATGACCCTAAATGATAAAGCCCATCTTTGGGCAATTGCAGTGACTAGCAGTGTTATTAGGGGTGCTATGCTAAGACTTCAAAGCTTGTGCGAAGATACCTTCCTCTTCCCCGTACAGATGGCCTCCTGGGGATGGTGCTGAAGCGTCTCTCCTCCCAGTTGATCTTGCTGCACTCCTGGGGCGCCCATCTGTGGAAGATGTTCTGCGATGCCAGGAAGCCGCGAAGCCAGATCCGCAGCGAGATCAACATCGATACGCTGGCCAGGGACGAGTTCAACCTGCAGAAGATGATGGTCATGGTCACCGCTTCGGGCAAGGTGAGCGGGTCGGGTTCTGGAGGAGTTGGTAACTCCCGGTTCTGTACTCTGTTACCAGTGGAGGAGAATGGGGATTCTATGCACAGCCAGCTTTCCTTTCATTCCTGTCTACTGTCTGTTTGCAGCTCTTTGGGATTGAAAGCGGCTCAGGCAGCATCTTGTGGAAGTTCTACCTTCCTGGTGTTCAGCCAGGAGCCTCCTTTAAACTGCTTGTACAAAGGACAACGGCGCACTTCCCTTACCCCCCTCAGTGCACCCTGCTGGTGAAGGACAAGGTGGGTACTTGTTATGTGACTGCAATCCCATCTATTATTATGTGGAAATGTTAAATTGGAGATGGCGACCGTTCCCGATTTTTTTAATATCTTCTAGGAGACCGCGATGACCTCCCTTTACGCCTTCAACCCGATATTTGGGAAACTGAGCCAGATGACTCCGCCTCCTCTGCAACGCCCCATTCTTCAATCCTTGCTCCTCCCGATTATGGACCACGACTATGCCAAAGTTCTTCTTTTATTGGATGACCAGCACAAGGTGGGTCCTTCATGCCAAGGTGCCTACATCCAATAGGAACTGAGCTCCCAACAGCTGCCCTTGCAAGAATGTTACAAGCCTGGTATCACAGGGGGCAATAAAAGGGGTTTATCAGTACAAGGGAAAAGGAAAACATACACCGAGTGGCCGGATTATTATATACACTGAGTGGCCGGATTATTATATACACCGAGTGGCCGGATTATTATGACCACCTGACGTTTGTAGGCCAATGAGCTATAATTTGGCGCTGAAGTTGCTGGAGGGCCAGACCATTATAAATAGGGGGCAGGTTGGTTACCACGACAGTAGAAGTGATTTCTGAAGATTCGGGGAAACAACGCGATATAACAGCCTTGGAACGCGGGATGATTGTTGGCGCTCGGAGCCATGGAGCGAGTATCAGCAAAACAGCAGAATGCGTTACATGTTCAGGAGCAGCTCATTGTTAAAGTGTTTAAAGACCGGACGGTCAGCCGAAAATCTGGGTCTGAACGTGCGAATTGTGGCCGTCAGCGACTAGTCAATGTTAGGGCAGAACGGGGGAGGGGCAAGACTGGTACAAGACAACAGAAGGGCAACAGTGCCGTGTCAGATTCCTCGCATCACCTTTCATCATCTCGTGGAGTCACGAGGCGGCCCAACGAAGTACTGATGGTGGAGGGGGGTCATAATAATCCGGCCAGTCAGTGTATAGGGCACGATATAGAGCAGGAGAGGGGGGTGTTGGGAGTCAATGTGGGTCATCCCCGGACATACAATGTAAGTATTTGGAGACCGGCCTGATCCTTTCCACAGAGCCCAGCGACAGGAGACGTCTTTTCTTCCTGTGATGTTTCTCTGTCACCTCGTTCATCTATCAATCTGTCTCTTCAGATAATTCCGTTCCCGGCCACAAAGTACGTCCTGCAGCAGTTACAGGAGCTCTCCTCCACCATCTTCTTCTTCCTGGTGGATGCCGAGAGAGGGAAGCTGAGCGGACTGCGTCTGCACAAGGTAGAGAGTCGCGCCATTTCTGATTCTCGCTCTCTGTGTATGGCGATTGTCTGTCCTGACCGCGAATGTTCTTCTCGCAGGATCTGACCACAGAGGAGATGTGGGAGCTCGTGCTGCCTCCAGAACTGCAGAGGGTTACCGTTGTGAAGGGGAAACATTCCAGCGAGCACGTCCACTCGCAGGGGAGAGTCATGGGCGACCGCAGCGTCCTCTACAAGGTAAACCTGCAATCTACGTTTGTATGTTGAAGTGATAAGGTGCAAATATCAGCAGTAAGTGGTGCCGGGAAGCCTGCAAAACGAGGAATCCCATCAAGCCCCTTCAGTCTATCGTGAATGCTGCTGCTAGACTCATCCTCCTAACCAACCGTTCAGTGTCTGCAACCTCCCTCTGCCGATCCCTGCACTGGCTTCCATCCCTCACCCCCCTCTGCCAATCCCTCCACATGCTTCCATCCCTCACCCCCCTCTGCCAATCCCTCCACATGCTTCCATCCCTCACCCCCCTCTGCCAATCCCTCCACATGCTTCCATCCCTCACCCCCCTCTGCCAATCCCTCCACATGCTTCCATCCCTCACCCCCCTCTGCCAATCCCTCCACATGCTTCCATCCCTCACCCCCCTCTGCCAATCCCTCCACATGCTTCCATCCCTCACCCCCCTCTGCCAATCCCTCCACATGCTTCCATCCCTCACCCCCCTCTGCCAATCCCTCCACATGCTTCCATCCCTC